TTTTCGTTCATGATAGCGATGTTGCGCCTCGGAGAATTCGTTCTCTTAGAAGTGTTCGGTGACAGCGGAAGAAGTGGCTAAGTAATTGGCCGACCTCCTTTGAACGCTGAGCGATAACACGTTAATTGCCGGTCTGGTAGGGATGGGGATTGAATGCGCGGTGAGGATCGTGAGTATGTGTGATATGGAGTGAGCGTTGGACGAGCAAGGCAAACGAGCGCAGATTAGAAAGCTTTACCGTTGCCTTTTACTAGAGCGGGCTCTTGCCGGTTGTGTCAGATAGGTCAGCTGTTCCACTGGCTCGTTTATGTGTGCACTTGATCTTCCTGATTCCAGAGAATGGCACAGTGAAAGATGCATGTCATGTGTGAGGAAAAAAGTACATTGTGCATCGCCAAGGAGCCCCTCGCTCGTGAGGTGTGGTGAAATGGTGCTACAGGGACACAATGACGAAATGGAATTCGTGATTCGATAGTGTCGCCCGATAACATCTTAGAATACCTGTATTATGAGTTGATGCGACGTTGCGAGATGTGAGTGAGAATGTCGGTCATGACGCGTCGCTTGTCGTTGCGGCCAGCCCCGTGCGACGTCACAACCCACATGATAATGGGGCACCTTCTACGAGACCTTCAAGCCTTGGAGAGATCTCGACCGTAGATGCGCGTGTCAAACCTCAATGCTTCGGATATCTCGCCGCAGAAATCTTACGACTAACAAGCCCTCTGTTGTTACACCAAAACCTCAAATCTCGTATGCTGTTGGCAGAAGTTGCTGATGACGCTCTTTTCCCGCCCATAGATGTCAAGCTCCTGGCATTTGCCCGCGGTCGAGTGCAAAAGATCTCATCGAAGTGCGATTACTTTCGTTCGGGACGATCGCTGGCTGTCTATTACGCTGAGAGCGACATCACCAGCGAGTGTCGAAAGTCCCGCGCATGGAGCCCGCTTCTCCGGAGTGCACTATCATTCTCCACAAGGTAGCAACGAAGACTACCCCAGAAGAATACTAGATTCTCATCTACACCATCGCCGTATATGTCCGCCAATGCGCTAACAACTGACTAAGATCCAGCGAAAGCACAGCTTCGTCTATTTCGAAACTTCTGTCTTTTTGGGCAACACATAGGTAGCTTTGAAGATCTGTTGCGTCCATCAGAGCCACCTCACGCAGATACAAACCATGGTCGACAGTATTATTGCATTGGTGTACAGTTGTTCAAGCAACCCAACTCAAAATAGATGGTGATGCATCAGGCTGATGGGACGATATCGGCGGACTCGTCCACCACTACAGCTATATACTTATCAACGACACTGGGGATTGACTTGCGAAGCTTTAACCGATGTGTCAAGGCTAGGCTTGTTGGCGTAATAGGTTTGGAATACTGCCGAAGATCAACATATTTGCTTGTGGCTATCCACTTCAATCACGTAAACATGGTTATGATTTGGCGACGTGAACATGTGTTGCGAAAGCGAGTTTCGTGACAGTCGGTTCACCCCAAATGTGTTCGTCACTGGCGACGGCTAGAATAGCTTCGCTATGCCATCTTCCCAATAGGCGTTCTGCTAACGGTACGCTGTGAAGATGAGTTCTCAGACAACTGGGGCCGTGGCCTCTACCTTGCCGACCACCAGGTCGTCTCTTACAATGTGCGTATATGAATGAAATCCATGTATCCTTCCTGGATATCAGTTCGCTCATTACTGATACTTCTCAAACAGCGGTTGCCATTTAGGAAGTGACCCTTTGGAATGCATGGAACCGCAAAACAAGGAATGAAATAGACGATAATAAGTGATTCAGGCTCGGGCGCCTGAAACGATCAAGATACCAGCGGAGGAGCAGAGTAGTGAAGTAGGCATACTAAGCTGGGGAAAGCCCAACGTATAGTCTGGCATGAGGGCGAGAGGATAGTGATCGAGCGTCATCAAGCGTTATCAAGCGTGATCGAGCGCGACAGGCTGGATAAGTCCGGTTGTGAAGGCAACCGGTGATAGGTATGCCGTTCTTCGGCTGAGTGCTGAAAGCGCGGTAGTGGAGGCATGGAACTACATGGACTTCGCCCTCTGCCGAGAGTATCCTTGTGGTAGTCGAGAACTTCGCGTACTGCTCGCGGGAAAGTCTGCCACGCGCGACATCTGCTCTCTTGTCATGTATTATAGGACGCGGGAGGTACATGCGGCGCAGTGCCTATCCATCGCAGCAGCTCCAAATTGCCAGACGCTCATGTCGACATTGCCTTCAGACTCCTCGCTACTTGTGTATTTTTACCCATGTAGACGGCAGCGCATCTGCTCAGCCGCTTGTTAAACCGATACGGTGGAGGCGTGTATGCCTTGAAAACTCTTCCCCCCTTAGGTACCAAGCAAGCCAGGTACTCCAATGGGGTACTGACCGAGCTCCACAGAGCACTGCGTTGACGAACAGCAGTAGCTCCGACCCCGCGCGCATGAGCGAAGGAGAGTATGCGAGGCTGTTGTACGCATCGAACGGAACGGGAACAGTCCTCGCACCATTATGTGTTCCTGTAGTCTGCACGATCGCTCAAAATCCGTCGGCTGTTGGGTATAGCGTCGATTGATAACGTCGAGAAACGCCTAAGGAGCAGTGAGTGAGATGCACCAGTGACATTGTGTGTGCATTTTCGAGCCGCCGTTGCTCGGAGCTGTCGCATCATTCCCTCGCTGCGGAGCCCGTCGGGGGGAAAGGGTCGTTATTGCGAATGGTGTAGCCTGCGTACGGTCAGATGGTGCTCTTGTTGAAGTGACACGCAAATGCGCCGGTCACGCATCCTCTCGCGCGTGGAGGAGTAGTATTCATTGTTGGAGGCGATCGGAGGCGGTCGGAGGCGGTCGAAAGTGGCTAAGGATAGGTCGTATGGCGTTGGGGAGGCTCTGTGACGTGACTGGAGCACGAAAGGGTGTTTCCCTGCGGTGCAAGTTGGGCCTCGTGCATGTCTGTAATCGCGTAAGCCAGTGGCTGCCCCTGAACAAATGTGCGCGCCATCGGCGACATGCCGCCCTTCCCTGGAGACGGACATGCCAAGCGGGCACCTGGTGACCTCGGTCGCGCAGCCATGGCCGAGTGCGATGTGGACGTGCCGGTTCAGTGGGCGTGGATGGATTGACCAGCCGATGACGTGATGCGCGATGCCGCTGTTGCGGCTCCGGGGCATATGACTGCTGGTGGTAACGGTAGAGGCGGGCAATGCAGTGCAGAGACAGGTGGATACCTGGGCAGCCTTCTAGTGCGGCTCTCGGCCACGCGGGGGAGGGCGGAAAGTCTGCTTGGCATGACGCACAGACCCCCGCGGCCATCGTCATCATCGCTAACCACCTCGCCCTCCCCATCTCAATCACCCAAGTAGATTCTCTCCACCGTCGCGCCAAACCCATCTGTTCCTGAAAATGTATTGGAGTGCGACAGGTCTTTCACCTTGTATGACCAAGAGCTGACCCTTTGCCACCCCAAGGTGCAGTGCTGTCCTGTCTTCAGGATGGCCATGAACCATCCAATTATCTGGTCTCGATCCGGGCATCATTCGATACGCCTCGCACGATGAATGTTCCTTCCATCACAAGGACAGCTATTGTTGCGCCTCGCTTGTGGATAGAGCAGTGCTTTCACGCCGCTACCTGTCGCTTTTCACTTCTTATGTTACACGACTGATGCCAGGCTGCATGTTTCAGTCTCAACCACGCAATGGCATCTTAGCACCGGCGCGCTCATCACGCAAGCAAATCCGTCATCTCCTCGATCGTTTCTTTCTACCTGCGAGTCCGCGATTCGCACGGCCTAAATCTTCTCATATACTGTGTCGCTTTCTCCACACTCTCGGATTACTATTCAACAGCGTTTGTTTGGCCTCCAGACGATTCACGCCCTTCTGGTGAGCCTACGAGAGTTTCCAAGTCATGTCTGGTGTTGTAAACGCATCCGTCAGACACATTAAGCATTGCCTGTTACAATGCGACCAGTCAATGAGAAGGACTAACAACAATCAATGTAGCAGTGCCAGCGCCGACCGCTTCCGCCATCGACATCGATGCGTATCAGCGCGCAAGCATCAACAAGCCGCAGCCGACCACCGACGATCGGGTATCGTCTCCTCTCCCACACGCTCGGTGCCTCTGCAAACCCCTCGCCTCTTTACCTCTACCGTTTCCATCCCTTGGACTACCGCTACATATCGATAGTACTGCATCTCCACCTCCAGAAACATGCCTGCGTATTCGCGATTGTCACTGGGACCTCCGGCAGATACCGTGTCGATACCGGAAGTCACGGCGCATCCGATCATTTCTCAGACACCTAGCTTTCTCAACCTCTCGGGTGAGGCACGTAACATAGTCTACGAGCCGCTCTTCGAATTTGAGCAGCCGATAGCACTCTCTGTCCCGCCATCTGCGCATACATCTCAGAATTCTGTACCTCCAGTAGCGCTACTTTCGACATGCCGGCAAATATATCATGAAGCTGTCGGCATCTTGTACACCCGCAACCGTTTCCTTGCCGCGACCGCATCGGGTTCCACATGGTTATCTGCCCTGAACCACACAACTAGTTGGCTTTTGGGACTGGGATCACAAGCAAGGCATCATCGCCACTTAACCGTACACGTCGTGCACCGCGGTCGCGACCTGAACGAGCTGCAATCGTTTCATCCGGTTACCACATCAAACGCACGGCTTTTCGAGGTCCTACCCCTGCTGCGCGCGCTCTGGGAACTGCGCTTGGACCGGTGTCACATCAAATACGCTCTTGCGCACCAGCATTATGCCAATGATCTCGATGTAGACCGGTCAGACGCGTTTTGTGCAGCAGATGCCGCCTTTGCTGCTATTGCCTATGGACCCGTCGCTCTGACTACACCACGAAAGCTGCTCGCTAGCGTCCAAATTTCTTCATCCGGCACTTGCCTTCTTCGATTCAAGAGCTCAACAGAAGGGCTCGTGAGCTCCATCGAGTGTCTTACGCCAACAGGTGCATGTCCCATGTCCATGGAATGCCTCCCTGCGGAGCTTCATCCTCACCCTCATCTCGTCAGACAGCCAGCAAAGAAGAGCCAGGCGAGATTGGCGGGTCTTCCCTTCAGCGTACAAGGTCGCATCGTCTCGGCGTACATGTCGGCTGCAGAAGAGCCGTCTTCGGCAATTGAAGTAGACCTTGGTATGCGCCGGATACGTGGCCTCGAGCACCTATACGCCTTGCTCGCTCTGAATCGCTCCTTTCGGCTGAAAGCGCTATCCTCCATCACAATGCTGGCCGAGCCAGTAACGGTGCGCCTTCCGATGAATACCACCTCTAAGGATAAGTCGGATTTCTGGGACCTCCTTCGCTATGTATGCGAAGATGCCGGAGGTCCAGATCGCTTCGATTGTTTGCACTGGGCATTGTTACGTAACAGGCATCTGAGCATTTCTGTTACCTTTCAGCTCACCCCCACGACGACCCTGCGCAACGTCGAAATGGATGTGCATGGCTTACTTCAGATCGAGATGCGTCGCGTGTGGTCGTGGCCTGTGGACTTTCCTCGACCGGATATCCCCATCCGTGTGCGAATTGTGCATGTACCTGGCAAACACTCCGGCCTCCAGACAGTTCACACACGTCAATTTCTCCTTGGCCAGTTGAATCAGAAAATGCTGTTGCTTCTGCGCGACGCCATCCAGACATCGACAATTCATTACCGCCACGGGATCGAAGTCAGCACCGATGGCCACGGATCAACTCCGCCAGTCAATCCTGCAATGTCGGAATACTGCAAGAAGTTTGGGGTAACGGCGCCCAACTGGTTTCTCACGACAGGCGTTTTGATCTTCTGGATGGACGGATTCGGCGAGCCTCTGCGTGCAGACTTTGCTACCTCTGCTGGTGATGTTGGGTTCTCGATGCCCTACTCGCATCCCGGACTAGCCAACAAGGCGCTGCGCAGCCGGGTAGACCGCCACTTGGACGAGGAGTGTAGTCACTTTGCCAGAGATTATCAAGAGGGCGTTCACGCAGGTCTCTACAAGTTGTATCACGCACAGGCTGAATGGGTACGTCTTCACTGTCCTCGAATCGGCGGTGGTCAACGTCACCAGTAGCTACACCCCGTCGCAGTCTGCTTGCACTGGTCTCTTTCGTATTACTGTTCCTTCTCTTTTGTGTTTTTTCCCCATCTTTACCTTCTTGACTTTCTTTCCAGTTGGGAGGTTGGATTCACTCGAAAGGCGCAACCGATCAGACTGCATGTACCAACCGGTATGTGTACGCATAGTTTACTTACCATAGACCGATGACACGGCGACGACCATCAGACTGCCACCATCATGGCCCGCGCAAAATTTGGAGTCAATTTGAATGCGCAGCGCGAGATGAAACCCGACCTCAGCCTGGGTCGAAAACCATGTTCTGCCTGCCCCAGCTCTGGTACTTTGTGAACGTATTTGGTCAAAAGTTCTTTGTTTTCATGACAACAGCCATGTCTTTGGCTGACATCGGGACTTCGCTTGCGCGCATGGTGGTCAAGTGTGAACACACACGCTAGTCATGACCGTCTTACGATATAGCGCCACGACCAAGGCAATACCGTGCCGCGGACTTCCCTGGCCTTGATCTGGATACTTGACAAGTATAAGTATCTATATAGACGCACATAGGGACAGAGTTAGCGTACTTCCTCAAGATCCTGAAGGACCAACTCTCGCCTGCGTTCACCAGCGATTCCATAGAGCAAGCCTCAACATTGCCAGTCCACTCCATCGCTGACACAGATACGAAAGATCCCATGGATCTGGCTGGCCATGACCCTTTCGCGCCCGCTACGAGCACCCGTTCCATGCAGACAATGGAGCCAACGAAACCTTCCACCAGTCCGCAAACCGACACTGAAGACTTCGATGACATCGCAGCAGCGATCAGTCTGATGATGATGCAGACTGCCGACTCGGCCAAAGACAAGTTCTCCTTGGACAACGATCACTCCGGTACCCTTGAAGCTCCCAAAATTCCCTCCATACGGGTGACAGAACCGAACAAGAACGACATATCGTTGGAGACAAAAGACTTTGGTAGTTTTATCGCAGCTACAACAACAAGGAGAGCGCTCCCAATTCGCATCCCTTCCAAATTCACCAGTCATCGCGTTGCTGCTGGCTCTCCCACTCTCAGCTTTGCGCAACAATCCACTGTGGTTGATGAACAGCTGCCACTGGCCTGGCTCCAAGACATGTCCAACGGCCCTGAGTTCGGTGGCGGCGATGTGACCAATTGGGATGACCCCACACCGGAATGCTTTTCCGCACTGCCGCCTGTACTGGAGCGGACTCCAATGTTGCCAACGCAAGCGGCTATGAACTCAACTCACGACATATGTCTTCCATTGGACAACGCCACTTCCATAAGCCTGTGGCTCGGCGATATCAGCAGTGGGTTCACACCTGAGTCCTTGAGTTCTTCTCTACCATCACCGGAGGAGCGCGCAGCCCCATGTTCGAGCCGAGAGTACGACTCGTCAGGGCTATCTCAATTATGCGAATTGCCTACGGTTCCACCGAAGAAGCGCAAGCGCTCGTCCTCCGTCTTGTCAGATGTCCAGTGCGCACGGCGCCCGTCCTGGAACCAACCTTGGCCCTCATCATCCATCTTACCGGACCATGACGTTCCAGTAAGTCGTCACAGCACGGTCAGCTGGCATCTCTTTCTCCCATTATGGGTCATTGCTAACGCAGCTTGCAGCAGTTCGCCTATCCCGATATGGCAAACGATATGCATGCGATAGAGAGCCTATGGGAGGGCCCAACGTGCGTGGAGCAGGCCGACGACGACAACAATCATGTGAACGAGCCCTCATTGAACCATGCGACAGGTACGGCCCTGTACGTGTGAGAAAGCCAGCTTCAGCTAGGGAACGATAGCTGCTATACGTTGACGAAGTGGTTGGTCTAGAAGGGGCGGGGGAATTCATTGTACAACAGTCTCCCATATTTTCTATTGGTGCTGATGCCATTCAATCGTATTCGGAATGGTTGCAACACATTATGCCAAATTTTGAGTCTCATGTCAATCTACTTGCTCCCCCTTCGTTTAGGTGTCACATGCGAGACGGTCATTATTGAAGCGCCCATAATCTGGGCAATGAAGAACCCGGCCGTATCCCTGAACTAGGATACGATCTCACGAAGACAAAGTGACAGAAGCCGATAAGTTCTAGCCGGCAGTGACCCTGGAAGCTCTCATCAAAGCGTCAAGACGATCGGGGATAAATGCAGGCATTGCTGCGGCGCTCCACACCCAGCTCTACTGGATGCATCAACACCGTCGTCCTTTTCAGGAGCCTGTCCTCACAGCCAATGTATTCGTGGGCAGATTTCCGGATTGCTGGCGCGAAGGAAGTACTGTTAAACCCGATGGATGCTCAAAGCAGTCAGGTAACGGGCCATATCAGCATCGTGGTTCTTTGCAGGCTGTCTACGTTACCAACGATTGCAAAGGGCACGTGGCATGCATTATGCTGTACCGTAGTCGTTACGTACTAGTATTCCTAGAGTATTTGCTTTTAATGTCTCGCATTGTCGTCGCAGCGACGCAAATTCTGAGTCGCTACAGTCACCTGTACAGTCGTCCCCAATATCCCCTGGTTCTCACTGAATCGACCCACTACACCACCTGGGTATGCGCGGTGCTTGTCAAAGTCACTCTCGATGGGTCGGGGAGATCTGATGTCTTTGCGCAGAGCGCACACGATCGCATAGAACCAGGATGCGCAACAGTAAAGCCCCTCACAGGCGGTTCCAAAGTTGTCGGGCTCATGTTCGGGTCAGGTTTCAGCGCGTGCCAACGCCACATCCGCCATCGTCAACAGAAGACCCAAACTCGTCACATGTTCCTCATTGATCAGAATACAGGCAGTCTGCCAGCCGTACTAATTCGCTTCGATAGACCATTTCGTTCTTGCTACTGCTCAGGCTGGAGCGCGTGAAACCTGAGCACCCGTGCTTTTCCGGGCGCGCCTTAGCGTGGGGTCAGCCGCCAGCTGCTTCTTCAACGTCGTCTCACGATCTTCAGCGAAGCTCACGCCGTCTCCTTTCCAAGATGTCTTCAACACGCTCAACCTGTGATCAGTTCCCGGTTCCCAACAGCGATACTCCAACGATGCGACATCCAGCTCATCTGTCTCCTGATCTGTCGAAGCACATACAATAACACTCGCGAGTTTGCGGCGAGGAGATGAGGCTCACATCCATACGACTGGGCAGCACTAGTCCGTGAACACATCCATTCCTCGGCTGCTTTGCCAAGTACGTGTGTTGTTGAGGCTTGCAATTTGCTCTTCGCTGTCTATTATGAGCTGCAGGGCTGTCTGGTTTCTGCCTTGTATCAGGTATCTAGATCTTCCACGGATGCACTAGCGTCCACATCGGGCGCCTTGAACACGATGGGGATGGGACATAGTCCAAGAGGGGCACTACGGAGACTTCGATGTGCAAGTGAATCAAGATCTCAAAGAGCGCTTCCGGTTCAGCGCGAGAGGGTGAACCAGGCCCGAAACCGTCCCCTTCACCTTTGGTCTTTCATCCAGGGCATTCCAAAGTGACCTGGAAAGATACCAGAAAGAACCGACCATATGCCACGTGCGACGCTGATCGTGACTACTTAAGCTCCTTTTACTCATCTCGTCACCCAACCCTTTGGCAACATCATGAGCACCACCGCTACCATCACAATGCAGGCGTCTGCGCAACATCATCGTGTAGCCACCCCAGATTCCACTTCAACCTCTATCGATTGCGCAATCTCAAATACACGACGTTATCTACGAACAACTTACAGAGAGAGAAGACACAAACCCGACTTCGTCATCTACGCCGACAACTCCACGAAGAATTTTCGGAGACCGTTGCTGCAAAACAAGGGTGCACGCGTCCCGCTGCGCGAAAAGACCAACCTCGCGAACACGGTGATGATACCTGCGTATCGCCGCGCCGCCACTCCTTTCGTATTCAGTGCCGCCGATCCATTGTGGGAAGATAATGAGAACTACACGAGAGAATACATAGCGAGTCGTTTTACACCACCGCTGCGTCGCATATACGAAACGCTGCCGCCGACCGTCTCGACTCGCTCCAGGTCATCACGACGGGTGAGGAGATTAGCGCCTTTACATACCCCACCTTCCACTCCTCATCGCCGCACGACACGACGTCAGATATCTACACCAAAGTCACCAGTCGTACCGATATCCATACCGATTCGAACTGCAATGCACGGCCAAGTCAATACATTCTCGTTTGACTGCACGACCTCGTTCACACAACCATACATTCTGCCGGCGTAACGCATTCATCATCCCATCAGCCCCTCGAAGCCGGTAAACAATGGTCCATCATCCTCTCTTTCGGCTCATACCGCTACGTCGTCATCAGCAGATCCTTCCATTCACGAGCCTGCTGGCGATCGCGAGTTCCTCCCCTCAATTGTCTCTTCGCCGATCGGATCTATTCACGAAGCTCCGGCGACGTACGCTCGGGGGTACGACTAGCTCGGTGCAAATCAAGCATATGAGGACCAGTGTGAGGCCGCGGTTCTAGTTCGTAAAGCAGCAGTCGCAACGCGAAGGGGACAGTAACAGGTGCAGGGTTAGAGATGTGATCGTTCTCTTATCGGCAAAGGGCAGTTGCGAGCGTGTCTCTGATGCCTGCGTAAAGTTCCTTTGCGACGAGACGGTTTATGATGATAGTCGTGTTATAGCAAGGTCTTGTACTGAGAGGTGTGATTTAAATCTGTTACATTTGCCAAACTAGCGTCTTTTGACACATTGCCAACTTCATTGCGTCTGTATTATTCACTCGTTTCGATGCTAATCGTCTCACAACAAAGGCACCGGGTGCTTTCTATTTGTAAGAGCTAACTTCACTGCCTGGAAAACTACTCAAATTCTCTCAAACTCTGCATGTTCACTGGCCATTCGCATCATATCCACCCATTCCTCTTTTGTCTTGCCTTGAAACCAGCGTTCCCGTGGCAAAAACCTCATCCCGCCATCCATATTCCGTTGAATCTCATCATCCATCTCTTTTTGAAAAGCGGCATCATTGAGTCGCCAACCTGATGTAGCCGGCATATCGTCTTGGAACGGCAAGAATTTCTTGATGTGGTTGTACGCTGCGGGCGAGTCTGGTCCCCACTTTTCGTGCCCACTGTTACCAATATATAGTCGGTTGCACGATGACGGCAATTTTTCGGCGACATCACCCCATTTATACCCTACGGTGGCGAGGTAGATGTACTCGAAGCGAGCATATCGCAATCGCGGCTGTCGGGATAGAAAGGTAATGAGAGACGGTGTGTCCAGCACCAAACTGCGTAGCTTCAAAGTTGTCAAGGCCGGAAAGACTAGCGGTGTGATATCTGCTGAGTCGGTGGCAGTGACGCTACCAAGGAGTCTTGCGATGTAGTGCTCGCCCACATCCGGTAGTTGTGGATGTGATGTAGTCATGTTGCGGAACTCGAGTGTTTGTAACGTTTCGGATGAGCAACGAATCAAGGCAGCGAGGGATTCAGCTTCGTTGTTAGATGAGTCAAGCATGAAGTCGACACTCTCGGCATTGAACGAAAGTGCAGTGAGAGAGCTGAACATGTGTTCCAAGGCGGCACTTGTCGTGATTGAAGATGGATCAATCTTGGGGAGAACCAGACTCTGGATGCGACTGTTCGACGCTTGAACGGCGGAGCATAGGAGTTCAAGGTGCTTCCAGGTCGTGCCGCATCCAGAGAACTGCTCGTCCACTTCATCGCTGACTGCGTTAGTTTGGTGTCATGCAAATCATGTGGCCATACTCACTCGCCGCCCTCTTCGAATCCATAATCACCCAAGTCACAGTGCCACTCTTGGACTTCGATAGCTTTCAGGCACGGCATATGTGCGAAGAGCTTGACCATTGCTGCTAGAACCGCGTCTGCCCTTACGCGCTGCTCCTCCACCTTGGCGGCCCAGATCGCTTCCGCCTGCTCGATCAATTCGCGCTCTCTATCGGGTCTTGCTAGTCGTTCCGCGGCGAGACGACGAATTCCGGCATACTCACCTTCGGAGTCAGTTTCAAAGTCTTCTTCATCATACATTCGATGAAAGTCCTCCTCGTAATCTTGCTCACGCTCTAGCCAATGGCGATACCTCGACCAGAACCCTGGGAGAACAGTCAGTATCCGCCTGGCTATGGATAAATATCCATCGGCTGGACTTACCATCTACGTAGTATTTGGGACTAAACTTGAGCTTCCGAACATGCCGCGCAATGTCGTGCGCAATGAGCTCATCCACCGTACTTTCCAAAGAAACCAACTCCACCGTGCGTGAACGACCCGGGTACATGACACACTCGTTGTTCTCCATCCTGCCAAATCTACTCTGGGGAGAGCCGTCTAGATGAATTGTGGCGAACATCAGCGGCCTCACAATGGTCGCAAAAGCGCGACATGTTTGAGATACTGAGCGCAGGTGGTGCTGGGGCAAATGTGAGAAGATCTCGAGGTAAAGTTCATCGGGCAGTTCCATGGTGATTTGTGGTACTGAAGACTAGGAGAAGACAGACGAGCGATACATATAAGAAAAGCGGGCGGTCAGCAGCAGCGCAGGCGTGACTGCGCGATGGTTTCGCGATATTAGCCTGTTCGCGCAAGGCACTAAGCAGCAAGGCAGCAATCTCGAAATGGGACACTTATATTGACGACGCGGCCCGATTTCATGAGTGCGTGTGCAGAGACACGATTATTGGTGGGTGGTGCATCCATTGTTGGTGATGAGGACTTGGTGCCAGGCACCAGCAGCGCCTAAGATTCGGCGACAAGGTGCGGGGCGTTGGTGGCGCATTGCGATAGTAGCGGCAATTCATGCGGCAAGTCGAACACGTGCCTGCTGCAAAAGGCTGTGACAACGATACAACATCTGGGCAGATAACCCTGATGTATGCAGCGCTGGATAAATTCCTGGGGTGTTTTTCCATGGTCTTGTAAGCTACAGAGTAGAAGAAATGTGTTCACACCTCTTCAACTTCCTCCAAACACAGGCTGGTGACGAAATCAAGGTTTGCTGATATTGCAACTCGCGCACGTCGTCCGTCACAGCACAGCTGTCCTTGACAGCTCGATCATACTCCTGCAGTTACGAC